ATGGCTTTTGTCTTAAAAAAATGAAAACGCCCTAGAAATACCGTGAGCGAAGAAACGCTGACATATGGAGTAATAAGTTAACTAGTAAAATTTGGTAAGTAAAGTCTACTCACCTTACTCTTATTGCCGTTGAAGCGCTGTAGGAATTTTCAGCAACTTCCCCGAAGGCGACCTCCACCGTCTCCGTATTGTCCAATCCCATGAGTGCAGCATATCCCTGACAAACTAAACTGTTCTACCATGGCATAATAATCGTCACCTGACGCCATTACAGCGTTGTAGTATACATGAAAATTGCCAATAACTCCTGCACTAAGAGTTGTCGCTACCTTTCGGTCATATCTTCTTCTGCATGTAAGCTATTCTGCATTTACGCTAGGTGTTGAAGTAGTTCCTGTTGGGTTTTTGTTTGACTTTTCAAAGATACCGTCACGGCTTTAAACAAACAATTACCATCTTTAAGCACTTCCTTGCGTGTAAAACCCCATGATGAAGCCAGCTTTACAATGTCTACCTTCTGTGATTCTGTCCTTCCAACCTTAGCAAAAGCATCTTGGTTTTATTCAATAACGGAGAGAAGTCACTTTTGTCTTGCAACAAATGTAAAGCTCTGCGTTACTGACGAACTCGCGGTGTCTAGCTGATGTCTCTACATTACCCTGTACCCCTGCGTGACTATGACTACACGGTGCAGTCCAAGCAAACGTGCGTAGCCTGTCCAGTCCTTTCTCCATCAATTCCTCCTCTCCAAGCCGCACTGGTACCCAAGGCTGAACTGTAGTGACGACGTCGTTGGTACAGGAGCAGCACCATCGTGTTTGTGCTTGACATGCAGGAGAATGTCTCCGGCACAACCCTGTCCTCCCGTGACAATCTTTACTACCCGAATGGTTCCATTAAGGCACCAGGTCCAGCCTTTCCACTTCTGCATTGTGCTGCCATCATGTATATATTTTAAAGGACTTCCTATGATGTTTTATACACTGCGCCCAGCTTATGCATGGAGTTGTAGTCGTGATGGCCACTTCAGGCTTACAACATCCGTCAGTTTGACCAACACCCGCCAGGGGCTTCCCTTGTCTGTAGCTAGGTTGTTCAGTAAGCTAAGGAAAAACAACACTTTGTCAACAAAGCCTTTCTTTTGTCGTCTGCACAGCAGAAGAAGGGGAGTGCCTCCCATTCCTCCCTTTCAGGTACTGGGATGCACCTGTTATGGGACCATGACTTGCACCGGTCACACGGCACCATCAATCATCTGTTGTTCCAGTACCTTTTCACCATACACAACAACTGCAGAATAAGTCATACAGACCTTCTAAGGCAGGTAAAAAGCAAAAGGATGAAAAGCATAAGCATGAACAAAGTAATGCACACTAAATGATCCTACACGTAGATGTTACTTTCTGATTGACAAGTTGACAGGAGAGAGAATAAATTTACTTAGTTATGTCCTTGCTGGTTGTTAAGTATTTAGCCTATTATAGTAATCATTCTAACCTAACATCAATCAATCAATCAAATGCATGTATTATAACATCATAGTAGGAATCCTGAAATACTAGTACCTATTATTGACCACAGAGATTACCAGATTCACATTCTAAAACATCGGGCTATCAAGTAATTAACAGGTCCTTATCTTCATATATGTCAATCATGTATCCAGCCTGATCTCTAAAATGACGCTACAGCATGTTTGTCAAGCTTCTCTTGATACAAATGAAAGATAGTTTATAATACTGTAATAGCAATAATTGACATCGTAGAATTGACCTTATATATAATATAAGTCCTGTTAGATTAATGAGTAAAAATATGAAAGGTGTCTATATGCTCCGGCTGTGAGAATTTGATACGATTAGTGTAGGTTCTCAGGGATTTCAGATCATGTGTCACGCATCGTCATGGAGCTTCCTGACAAAGTATGGGATGGCTTTTGACACCGTCCATACAGTCAGGTTTCCGCTCTCAGGCAGGAATAGGCAAAATAGGTTATAGGAGTGGTCAAGGCACTGCTCAAGGTCATTCAGGTCTGCCTCGTTAGTCTCGTGCTTGTTGAACAGGGCTCCTGCATCTCACAGGCAGCACACCCAAAATATGGCGTTTCACTTTACTCACCTCGTCTTCAGTGGGCTCATTCCTCACCTGCACATTTTGCAAGGAAATGGGCGCTGACAACAACTGTTTCACGCAGTCACGTTTCACAGCATCAAATAGTTGATGCTATGCATTAGTCTCCGTAAATAGATGTCACGTCTTGTAGACTCTACAGACAAGGAGAGGGCAGCGAGGTCATGTACCCCTTTCAGTAGGTCAGCCTCGCGCTGCTCTGGTCCAGGGCATCCAGGTCTGACCGATCCTGTCACCCACAATGAACATGTGTTTCGTGATATTTGTCAAAGGTGAGGGACAAGTGGCAGCCCACGACTCGTCTCCACCAGCCCTGAACTCAAACGTTCATACCTCTCCTGCAATGGTGTAGGACTTGGCCTCCAGCAAACCTATCTGGTAAGTGTGCTCTTTCTAGAAGCTGCCAGCACTGGAGCTTTCTCCGACTCATTACCGTGTGTAGCCTCCCGGCCGACGTTCCAGCATGTCATCCCACAACATGATAACAAGCACATGGCTGGCAGCTGGCTGTCTCGTTTTTTCAAGTCCAGTCAGGTATGTTCTTGTGTCAGGTTCCTGCATCTTGTTTTTTTAGCCAGATTTGAAGTACTGAAGTTGTATAGATGAAGCATTGGCAATATGCTTTCATATGAATGAATGAATGACTGGTTTATTTGATCGACATGATTTTCAAAAAGTACATCGCAGCCAGGTAAATTGGCTGAATTGAAAAAAAACCGGCGTATAATATACATTTTTAGGCCACGAAGAAACGGGTTATAAGGTACACTTCTTATTCCAGTTACCCATTCTTCCGCGACTGTTAGGCGTTTTGTAGCTTATATAAAAGACGAATTTGAGAAAAATATGTTACGAGTTTTTTTTTTTTTATGTTGTAATTTTCCCATAGCGGTCCCACGCCGGAGGAGCGCCGGCCGTGGTCAGGATTCGCCAGATCGGCAAGAACATGGGATACGTTTGACGTCTTTTTTTTTCATTTTTGCTCAAAACGATTTGTGTTTGTAGAAATTTTTGTACTTTTTCTTGTTTCCTGGCATACATGTGAATAACATTTGTCTCCGCGAGCCATGACATAAAAGGATTTCCCGACAGCGGTGACTAATGACACTCGCCGACGAAGGGACCGACCCTTGTCTTTGCATGCCTTATGCAGCACATCTTGTTGCAAATATTTCACACGTGGGTTCTAGGTATTTGGTATGGATTTTTAATCGACTTGTTTTTTTTTTCTCATATCAGACACAACAACATGAGCAGCAGGGCGCCTGCCCTGTTCACTCAGTACAAGAACAAAGCAACAAACTTCCAGCGAAGGAATCGCCTCTACAGAGCGATGGCTGGATTGCTATCATATGTAAGCCAAAACCTTTGTTCAAAGTTAGGCACGGCAATAAGTTGACGTTTCATACATTTTGCTTTCCTTCCCCTAATTTTCTCGAGTATTGTAATTTCTGAAATTGTTCATTTCATATTTTAGATTTCTTTACCTTTGTAATTAAACATTTTAGTCAATGTCATTGCAAATTTTGTAGGTTAGACTTATTTTTGGCATAGGGCATGTGCTGACCACAAACTTGTTTGTCATTGGCCAGAAATAACAAACGGTGCGAGTTTGAAAAAAAATGCAGTTTCTTACTCTTTCAATTTTCAGCTTGTTTTCAGAATCGTCAAAATAACCCCATGAAAATAATTTCCAGGGGCATGAATAGTTTTGAACTGTATGTATGCCATCTCCATTACAAAATGTAGTTAGTAGTTGGATACTAGTAACCCAACAATGCTAATCTGTGTGCCACATGTAGGGACTTCACCGAGCCCCGCCATGGACTTACTACATCTACAGTGATGAGCTGAAGGCCATCGTCAGGGACACATATCCCTCCTGGGAGGATGAAGACTGGAGGATGGAGAACCTTGGAAACAAGCCAACCGCCAACGTCGGAGTGGATCACCTGTTCCAGGACAAGCTCTGATGATACAAGTCTCAAACCTCCATGGTGACAATAAAAAGGCAAATGTTCCCAATAAGGTGAATAACTTGCCAGGAGTAAGCCGACAAGAGAAACTGACCAGGAATGGCTGGCTAGTTTCTCTTGTCGGCTTACTACCCTGACAAATTATTCACCCTGTTTGGTCCATTTGCCCTTCTTTTGTATGCGGAGGATGTCATCCATAAAATTTACTTGCTGTGGCCTTAAGAACGTATTTGGATAAGAAATGCACTCTTACTGTTCATGAGCCCGTTATTCTCCCTGTTCACGCAACAAACTGTGCAAGATGTTTTTGTGAATGTACCCTCATGAATGTGGTACGCTAGACAATGTGTACTAACCAGTTCGGGTATGAGTTCTAATTTCATGAATAGTTGTCATGTGAGTAGACGCATTCAATCTACAACTTAAAAGCAGGCAAATGATGCAGTGACACACGTTTTAGAGTAAAATACTCAAAGTGACATCAACCTCCTTGATCTAGATCAGTAGACTAAGTGCAAAATAGTATTGGTGTGTTGCAGAAATATTGGAAAAGCTTGCAGACAATTCAAAAGTAGAATATTTTTCATATTCAGCAATGATTTTCAATAAATGTACTCTATGAACGCATTTGCAACAAATGTACAATCTTTTCCTTTGATTTCACAACGTGCACCATAAAAAATCTTCTGGCACCAGTTCACCAACGCAACCAGAAATACAAAGAATCACTAATGGTAATAAATGTAACATGAAAATGTGCCAACTGACACATACCCTATCACCACTTCTCACTTTGTCCCACAGCATGATACACCCGTACTTAAGCATATTACAACATCATTTGCACTAATACACTCAACAGTCAATCAAGCAAAGTACAATCCGATGTTAGATTTACCAGTAGTTAACCTTGAATTCATCAAACAACTGGTTTAGTCGCTGAGATGTGGCCATTGACATGCGCCAGTACTGTCTGGTTCCTGTTCCGGATGGAATCATTTCCACATCCTTATCTATGATGCACTTGCTGATGACTTCGAGTTTGTCTTTTAGGTCAGGCCATTTGTACACGAGAGGTAACCCAGTCTGTAGGAAGCTAACAGCGACCCTATTGCCCTGAGTGCTCTCCAGCTTGGCAATATGCCAACCCTCAGGTGCTTCCAGTGCAACGGCCACCCATCTATCCTTGGCCAAATCATTCAGGTTGTCTGTACCCTGATCCATTTCCGGCATCCGGCTGTCAGTAGCTGTGTCATGATCTTCTGTCGTGCTGTCAGTAGCCGTCTCCTGATCTTCTGTGGTGGCCATTTCTGGTTTCATGCTGTCAGTAGCCGTCTCCTGATCTTCTGTGGTGGCCATTTCTGGTTTAATGCTGTCAGTAGCCGTCTCCTGATCTTCTGTGGTGGCCATTTCTGGGTTCATGCTGTCAGTAGCCGTCTCCTGATCTTCTGTGGTGGCCATTTCTGGGTTCATGCTGTCAGTAGCCGTCTCCCGATCTTTCTTCTTCAGCTCTGCTTCGATGTGTTTCTTTTCTTTCTTCTTTTCCTTGAGCTCTGCTTCGATGTGTTCCTTTTCTTTCTTCTTTTCTTTCAGTTCTGCTTCAATCTGTTCATTTTCTTTCTTCTTTTGATTCAATTCTGTTTCTAAGTGTTTCTTTTCTTCAGTTCTTTCAATTGTTTTTCTATTTGTTCCTTCTCCTTGTGTAGTTGATACTTGTTAACATGGCTGAAGTTTCCATCATCTCCCATGTATTCATTGTCTTCCTGCAGAGTTTTTTTCTTTTCCAGTTCTTTCACTTCTTCTTCTAGCTCTTGTACCTTTCGTTCAGCATCTACCTTGGCTTGTTCCTTTGAACGCTGAAATTGCGGGAGAGAAATGTCACTGTTAATATACTGAACACCAGATGTTAAATTGATGAATGTCATGAGTACATGTAAAATCGTTTATCAAACACTGTTATTGTGTTAAACAATCATAAATCATTAACTCCATGTGCAGTCAAGTAGGAAGCCCTTCTAGTTACCCTTTTATCTGCAGGCAATCTAGCAACAACAAAAAAAACAATCAGCCTCAGGGTGCCTGCAACATTTTTGTGGTTGCCTGTTACAAATCAGATGACACTCAACCTAGCTAGCCTCCTGTGCAGGTCCCACAGCAGGTGAATAGGGGATTTGCATCAGGGAAGTACGTGCGTACGATCAGTTCTGTTTAAGAGGCCCGGAGGCACGAAAAGTCATAAAAACTCCCCGCTGGGCGATCTACGCCTGCTCTAGAGGTAACATACGAAAATTTCGAACGAAACTTGCGTACGCAAATTGGGACCTGTTTACATGGCGGGAGAACCTGTGCGTACGCAATTTTCGTACGCACGGATTTTGCCGCCGTGTAACCCGGGTCTATGATGTGAGTTATTAAAAAACATGATCATGAGAAAGATGAAAAAATTAAGGATCCGAAATATGTGTCAGCTACATGTATACACTTGAGTTTACAAGTTTACAAAACAGGTTCGTTTAGTAGGTCTAAAGAAACTAGAAATCTTTTTATCCGATGCATTCGATATATATTGAAAACAGACTTGGCAATAATTACTGATAGGTAATAGAATGTGACAGCTTTAATGACCTTTCGTAGATGACTTTCAAGTAAAAACTTAACATTCCCTTCCAATACTCCTATTTCACCTCCCAACAGAACAAATCAAATATGTGATCTCATTGAAAAGGTACCCACCTTCTTGGCCTTTGCTTCTGCATCAAATTGGTCTTTGTCTATGAGCCCAGTGTGAAGTCGTCGCAGAAGGGTGAACGTCTCCTTTTCGCTGTCTAAGCCATTTAATGGCTTGAAGATTGTCTGTGTCACTTTCAGACTCTTGCCCTGCCCAAGGCACTGACCAGTGGACCACTTGTACATAATATCAAGGGCCTCCTGGTAGCACCTTGGGCTCAGAGTTGACACGGTCACATAGGTAGCCATGTTTGACGATACATTGCGTAACTGAAAAATGAGAGAATAACATGAGATTTTCAAACCATCATGAACATCACAATGACAATGTACAAAATTATGTGTCATGTAAGTCATGCTTGACCAAGCAAGAACACAATGTACCTGTAGAAGGGAGGACAGATTGGACTGCATGTTGAAAACCCAGGCCAGAGCCAAACACTTTTTGACTTTCTGACAAAGTTGTGTCATGTGACACACATCCATAAAATGGTATTATGTGAATGTCATCATTTATTTCCAATATGTATGATAACTACAAGTATACAGGATAGAAATTCAGGATGTTTTATCCTCATTTTCAGGGCATTTCAGAAACCTGTAAGGCTGTAACCCCAGAGGGCTACTTCCGCTATAGTACTACCGGTAGTCTACATACATTGCAAGCACTGAGTGTGAAGGTTTAACTTTCCCCTGACATTGATGCTTGGGAAATAGTTAAAATCATACCTGTTAAGGCCTGTTAGAGTACCATAATCTTCCAGAGGCAAAGAGATATTTATTTTAAATAAGATGTTTTATTGCGAATTAATTTTAAAACTTATGATTTCTGATAAGAATATAGGCTCAGACAGCTTTAGTATAGTATTACATGTTTCGTGTGTAGATGGGGTGCTTCACTTAGATGGGGTGATTAACATCAATGACAGTCACTATATATTGCTCTGCAGTAAAAAGTTTAAGACAAGGTACACTCACGCCTGTCCCAAGTAGTGCAGCAACAGCCTTCCTCCAACCTCCAGCATTCTTGTCCAGCATTTGGTGGTCATCAACGGTATTGACTTCTGGGTGGAGGCTTCTCATTTTGTCAACAGTTTTCTCAAATTCTTGTTTTGGCTCTTCACTCTCTCTTTTCTTTGTTTTGGTCTTCTTCTTCTTCTTCCCTCCTCCAATGGGACGTTTTTTTGCACCATCATCATCATCATCACCATCATCCTCACTCTCTTCACCACCATCATCCTGCCAGTCATCATCATCATCATCATCATCATCTCCCATCTCCAGAGCTGACTCCTTCCCTTTTCCTCTTTGGTAAGTAATGTACCTTCGCCTTTTGGGATTGGGCTCACCCTCACCTTCATCCTCCAGAGCATCTCGTTCCACTACCCCTCCCTCTTCCTCCTCTTCCTCCTTCTCTCTCAAATCTTCCCTCTCTCCCTCAGAACCAGAGTTATTTGGTGACTTATAGGCAAACATATCCTCATCTGACCCCACTGGTTCCGTGTCATCCACCTTCCTCAACTCCTGCCTGATGCTAGTGTAGGTATCAATGAAGGTGGGAGCATCCTCGGCCTTCTCAAGGTCAACCCACTCTGTCTTAGGTGGTGCCAAGAAGTTGTCCAATTTGACAACCAACTTGGAGGGTGGATCCTGTTCCCTGTGGGAGGCACTGTGGAACTGAAATTGTAAAAAAAAAGATGATTACCATCAGTCTTATTGAAAAAATTGTGAAAACATGTATAAAGATTTGTCTGTGTACTACACTATACTACAGTTGCTGGATTGTTTGTTGGTATGAAGATATCTCTTGTGGTATGACAGTTTGATTTTATAGGATGCTTGAAACAAATGGGGAAAAATTCATCCTATCTTTGACAATGGTGGAATGTTCCATTTGGGCTTAAGGTCTTGCAATTGTCATTATCATTGCCATTGTTGCCTGGATTTTTCTTAATTGCATCTATTTCAACAAATTCTCTCTTAACTAGTTTTCTTCATGGCAAAAGAAATCTTCTCAGTTTCAATTCACTGGGCATAAAGCAACATGTGTAAGAAGAGTAAAACCCTTGGTCACGTTGGGACAAATAACCCTCAAATCTTTAAAAACACTTTCCAAAAAATTTTATAGATGCTGTGGTATTATAGCTTGTTTAATATGCATTGTAACTGTTACATACATGCAGTAAGTTTGATTTGTAACTATTCCCTCCCCTAGATGAAAAGCGGGTGTGTACTCACCCTCAGTACCACAGCTGTCAGGTCACCATGTGCTTCTGTGATGCTTTTAACCTCATAGTAGTCGTCACCCCAGGTCTCCTTCTGGAAGCCAACTTTCTTCAGGCCTGATTTGCCCGTAAAGGTGAAAAGCGACCAGGTAACCATGACAAGACAGGGTTGGGAGATCGCGAAATAGTAGACCAGATAATGTAGAAAATGTCTTAGAAAAAGAGAACAGACTCCGCTACTCTGTCCTTGTCATAGAGGTTTCTTGTATCCTTATTTGGGCCGTTATTTCTTCCTGGTTCAAGAGTGCCTCCAAATATGGCATGGCTGTGGTCAACAGGCCAGACAGCATCACTGTCCAGGGACAGGGGTCTTCCCTATGGAAGTGTGTGGAGGTCTGACCTCAGCATATCAGTGCCAGTGAGTCAATATTGTCATCACAGACCAAATTTTGACCAGAGGCATGTGTTCCCAATATTGCCACAGACAGAAATTTTCAAATTCAACACTATCCATTTACAGTTATATTTTAAATTATATGTGCTTGCAAGAGACACACTGATTTGCAACAACATATTGCTTGAAGTATGGGGGTGAAAAGTAAACTGAAGAAACTAATTATAAGCATATGACTATAAGGCCACACCAATTTAATTTGTTGGTTCTCAGATTCGCCTCTTCGTTTTTTTCGGATTTGCAAAAAAAAAGAAAATTTGATTCTTATCCTGAATGAAGTGAAAAATGCTCATGTTTTGCCCCCCAACAGTTGAGGAAAGTCCTTTTCTTCCTAGTTGTTACAGTTTTCTCATCTATCATTGCAGTGGTTTGATTAAAAGTTCAAAATTCAATGCTTAAATTTTAACCCAGCCTTTTGTGTTGACTTCATGACTCATTTCGTACCATTAAAGCCTGTAATAGGATGCCTAGACCTGTTTTTATTTTTATTTTTTTTCGCCCTGTCGCTTCATATTTTTTCTGAAAAAATCCGAGAACCAACAAATTAAATTGGTGTGGCCTAACCTTGCTATGACTGTTGAATCTCTCATAAAGAACGATCAGCTGTCAAAATTGTCCAATTGAAATAAGGAATATTTTCTTGTGATAAATGTGACTAGTAAAGCAGAAACCTTCCCTGGCCTTTCCTTATGGACTATCTCCTTGCCTTTCTTGTAACAAAGTACTAGTAATTTGAGCTATCCTCCTCAGGAAACATGCCTTCAGTTGCAATTTCATGGGTGGCTGGTCAAGCCTTGTTGGGTGTGCAGCTGACCCCTGCTACCCCTATGGACCAAACTTTTGTTTTACAAGTGGTGGGGTGCTGGACAACTGTGCTACGAAAGAAAGCTAATAGTATGTGATTTGGGGCCAGGCAGACTGATCTCAGTCTTGGCTTTTTTTTATGTAAAGTTTTATAAGTTATAATATATCATCAATAGATTTCCTAACATCAGCAGAAGGTACAGTTAGAGCTCGTCCTGCATGAATGAGGTCTTTTTACTCCTTTGTCCCATCTTGATACTTCAGTGGCACCTCTATAGTCTATTTAGTAGAGCAAGGAGGTTAAATACAACCTTCTTGGGTAGAGTGAGAGATCCCAGCATGCCGGCAGAACATACTGCGCCTCCACAGAACCCTGGATTTTCCCATTTTGCAGAAGATATCTTTTCCAACACAACATTAATGCTAACCTTATATGAGCAAATACAACCTTATATGAGGCATTCTGCCGATGTGCTGTGCACAATACATTACGGGTTTCGCGCAGGTGCAGTTCGTTCTGCCAATGTGCTAGAGATCCCATGCTTTCGGTAAAGTTTCGAGCAGGCCATGGTTTTACTACATATTACCTGTTCAAGTGACCATGCACCAATGCAGCAACCAAACAACCACCTGGCCAATGTGACCACCTTTGTGTTCCCTTTGATAACTTGTCCCAATTAGACAAGCATAATTTAACAATCCTGCTTTTCGGCCTCACCAATTTAATTTCTCGGATTGGCCTCTTCATTTTTTTCTGATTTGCAAAAAAAAAAAGGTTCTGGATCAACTAAAAATGCTCATACACGTACATACATGTACATGTACATTACATGTCTCCCACCTGGGTGCTCCTCAGGCAACTGCTGGTGTCACAGCTGGTAGGTTGTGTTACACCCCAGCAGGCCAGCTGGGGCATGGGGCTAATGTGTAAGGAGAGGGCAGACATCACTGTTTCTGTATAAACAAGCTTCTCCCACTACGTATGGCCAAAGTTTCTCTTTTCAGAATTTATAGTTATATTTAGATTTGTTTCACTATTGAAAAGTTGTTCTTGTGAAGGTGTTAATAATATATCATACAATACACAATAAATTTTACTACATGTACATGTATTTAGCCATGTCTTTGTGAATCAAATAATGAAGGTCTTTTAGAATCCTCTAATCATCTTGGCACAATGACCCAGGTCTCTGAGCAGCAGTGGGGGAAGTGTCCCAGATTTGCAGGCAAATGTGTCCCAGATTTGCCAGGAGCACTGTTGGTGTAGCACTGTTGGTGTGTGACTAATGAAAATTTTCAAGGAGTATTCCCAGCCAAACCATTACCAGCCCCTCAGGTCTGGGGTTTGTTTGTTTTACCAATTATGTGGGTGAGACTGTATCTAATCAATGCTCAATCCAGTAGCAGTCTGAAGTGTGTGTTTACAAAGGGCTGAACCATAGCCTGGCTATCATGTTCCTCTGCCTTCACAGTTGTGAAGGCAGAGGAGAGGAGGAACGAATGGAGCGGAGACAAAGCATTCACGGATGGATTCCAGGCTTAAGCTGAACCATGGTGTGCCCAGGGAACTTGAATCTACCATAGGGAAAACAATGAGGTCATATGAACAATAAGACCAGAGTTGACAATGTTGAAAAGAAATTCCTCATGCCCTCTTATACATGTTCTTCTATAATAGATCAAGGAAGAGTCTTAAGAGATCAGATTATCTAAGATGAGTTGATAACTTGATATCCAAGCAAAGCAAGCCCTTACAAAGACTGAATCTGATCGAACTCTGAAAGCAAGCAAAATAATTACTGTTATTCTATATAAATGCTCTACTTAAGCCTCGGTCACAACCCGCTGTACGTGCTTTTTGTCCGTACGTTTTTTTTTAGGCTACGTCTGCTACGTTTTTTCTGATGCGGCGTCGACGCACATCACTCACACGGTTTCGCAAGGTGTAAGAGTGTGGTCTGCACGCCATGTCTGGCCGTGAGCGGTTGCGTGCAATGCATCGTACGTTGCACAAGTGGTGAGTTGTACGTGCTTACAACGTACGATCTCTGTGCGATTGCAACTTTACCGTAAGGAGGACGTACTCACACGTGCGCCTTTTGTACGGTACGTACGGGGCACACGCGTCGCCCGTACTCGCACACACACGGGTGGTGAATCCGTAGACCGCACGCAGAAAAAGTTTTACATGCACTTAAAGTTGTACGGCTTGTCTGCATGCTCCCAAATCCGTAGGATTCCGTACGGTGGCTGTACTCACCACGCACGGATGCCCTACGTTTGCCCACATTTTTGCACGTAGACAGCATGCAGAAGCACGTACGGCAGGTTGTGACCAAAGCTTTAGCCAGGTCTAGGGCCTACCTACCAACCAAGGAATCCACCCAAAGCTTCTTTAGTTATCATGCTAAACCACATACACACTCACACACACACACACACAAACACACACATTAACGATACAGAAAACATGTAACCTTAAAAAGGTAACAACATCGTCAGGTACATGTAGTTGCGCAAAAGCATGATAGCTCTGTTGACAAAGAAGTAGTAGATATCTGGTGACAGCAGGCCAACAGACTATGGTGCAATGGTCAATAAATAAAATGTAGATAATTACAGATCTTGGTGACAAATGTACAGATGTTGATACTGAATACATGACATTGTGTGATTTTGGCGCACCTTTTTAGATTTGCCAATGAGGGTTGTTGCATGGGAGTCAGTCACTCCACCATCATGTTAGGAATACTGTCTGTATCATGTAAAGAGCCTTTCCGAAGGGCATAACAGGGCATGGTATATTGAAGCTGGCCCAATACTCAAGTTTGTTATATTGCTTTTTATGACAGTTGTCTAGAATAAATGGATACCTGATGATGAGCTTTGCTCCTAAAAGGAGTGGTTGCCTTTGAAATGAATCCGTGTTGCATGTGTACTGGAAACTAAAACTAACTTGTTTCTTTTTATCATGTACAGACACAGGGCGAGTGTCTACTAGTACTCTCTAACATCATGAAATGAATGAGGCATTGCAAATTGCTTCATATTTTGCATTTGGGTGGAAAATTCTGCATTTGGGATGCAGAATTCTGCATCTTAGTTGCAGAATTCTGCATATAGGTTGCAGAATTCTGCATTTGGGTTGCAGAATTCTGTATTTGGGTTGCAGAATTCTGCACCTGAATGCAGAATTCTGCGCAGAATTCTGCATCTAAATGCAGAATTCTGCAGAACTGACCTAGTCCCAGGGGACCTATCGATAGTACCTACGTAACTTTTGGCAAGTATTATAACATATTCTAGAATATTAAGTCTCCTTCTCAAAATATGTCTTAATGGTGAAAGGTAGTCCGGAATTAGAGTGTCAGTCCGGAATTAAAGTGTCGCCTGTTATAGACAAAAAAGAATAGAATATAATGGGGCAAGCACTCTAGCTGGATACTAGTAGATTGGATGAATTAGGATTATGGAAACATTCAACTCTGTTGTCTATGCTTTGCATTTGTTTAACTAAGACAAAAAGTACATGTGCATCATTATGGCTGATTTGTATGGTGTATTCCATTGTATATTTGACTTGTTTCATACAATGCACTTCCCGGTGAACATTTTTCTCAAAAAATGTTTTTATCAGGGAAAAGTCTGTAATTTGGCATTAATTATATTACTGGCTGTGCCCCATTTATTTCTGCTCCAGCCAGAATAATCTCCCCAAGGGGACAGTGGTGTATACATGCCCTCAGGACCAGAGACAACCAGAATTTGTACATTGTATGTCTGTGATAGGAAAACATCTGGTAGCTATAAACTGTGAACTCTGTTCAGGGGTAGCCACATGGGAGAAGCTATCAGGCACCAGAGTGTTTTGTGCTAACTACATGGGTGGAGCTGGAACT